GGCATCAGTGCGCCTCCACTTCGTACTCTGCTCCAGACTGGACAAATGAAGAGACGAGAATGTCGATAGCAGACTGTTTTGTTACTGGAAATTGGACTGAGGACGATGAAGAAGAGAAGGAGCTGAGAGGTTTGTTTCATTTTATTCTCCATCTAATGCTAGCTTTCATAGATGCTTTTTACTGAATGCAACGATTAATTTTTGCAGAAAACATGGATGAAGAAATGGACGATGAACATGATATCAAAGAGGAAGAAGATGGTGAAGGCTTTATAGTTTGACATACTGTTCTTTTTTAAATATCTTATACGCCTTTTAGATGATGATGAAAAGAAAATGTCTGCTGTTGAAAGAGCTGAAGCGGCGGCTCATGAGAGGCGAGCAGAGGAAAAAATAAAACTAAAGCAGCGGTTCAATGACGACTATGATGAAACCTGCAAACATTACAATAATTTGAAGGTAAGCAAGACTTTCTTATCCATAATTTTTTTACTGAATGTCAATTATATCAGTATTAAGGGTTCTTTTTTTTGCTTTTTCCAGAATGAAATGGAGGAGCAAGCTCAACTCAATAAAAGCATATTCGAAGGAATGGATGAAGCTGAAAGGGAGAAGCTTGAAGGTACTATCTATTGTGTGCACTATAAAGCTATCCGTTGTCTTGCAGGTTTTCGAGCAGGCCGCTATGTCCGAATAGAGTTTGAAGAAATTCCTTGCGAGTTTGTTGAACATTTTGACCCAACTTCTCCTTACATCGTGGGAGGACTTTTGACAGGAGAACAGAATATGGGCGTTGTGCAGGTATTGTGTTTTGATACCGTAAATGTTGAGCTATGTTTAGACGTGCTAGTGCCTTATCTTATTCGTGCTCAGGTTCGCATAAAGAGGCACAGGTGGTTTGAAAGAACATTGAAGTCACGAGACCCGCTGATTATCAGCTGTGGTTGGCGGAGGTTCCAAACCATTGCTATTTACTCGATGCAGGTATGTATCAAAGTTACAACGCGATTCCTTTTTTATCAGTGCTCAATAAAGCTGTTTAGGATCATAATATGCGGCAGCGGTTTTTGAAGTACACGCCAGAGCATATGCATTGTCATGCCCAGTTTTGGGGGCCTATCGTAGCACAAAATACGGGATTTGTAGCTGTTCAATCAGTGGCTGACAAGACGGTAAGTTTACTTAAACCACGAAGATCGACGGTCATGCTTTTCATTTCCAGCCGGGTTACCGAATAGTTGCTACTGGTGTCGTGCTGGATCTCGAGAAAGCCACTCAAGTGGTCAAGAAGTTGAAACTTGTTGGTACGCCTGAAAAGGTGTTCAAAAATTCAGCTTTCATCAAGGTATATGTTTTATTTATCCGATTTTTGTGCAGATTTTGTGAAGTTTGGTACGTCAGGGCATGTTCAATACGCAAATGGAAGTTGCAAAGTTCGAAGGTGCAACTATTAGGACAGTTTCTGGCATAAGAGGACAAATTAAGAAAGGGTTGCATGAGCCGGCGGGAGTTTTTCGAGCAACGTTTGAGGATAAGATCTTGATGAGAGGTAAGCTTTTTACGAATCTATGCGCTTCTTTTTCTTTTCCTTTTTTTACTACATTGCTGATGTATTTTAATCCTTTC